TTTTTTTTTTTTTTTTTTTTTTTCTTTTATTGTTCTTTTATTGTTCTTTTCTTTTTGTTTTTCTTCTTTGTTTTTTCTTGTTTTACTTCTCATTAAATTGTTTATACAATACAAATTAAAACACTCCTGTCCGGAAAAGGTTTATAGGTCCATCCAACCACCGTTTTGTGCTTGGTCGATGTTTGTCTCAGCCGGTCGGTCATGTGGTTCGACCACGTATATATCGAGCCCGTTAAAAGAGAAATGATTCAGATGTATCTCAGTCATGATTCACTGCTGAATCTCTTTCCCTCAGGTTATGTTTCTTCAGAAACGTGAGCACCATCGTGATACGGCAACAMTAGTTACCGGAGAGTCCGGGGGCCTCGTGAGGGCTTGGAGTATCTTTGGAGGGGGACTCCTTGGGCAGTTTGTGGCAGGACATACCGAACGAGAATCCATAACAACATTAACAACAGATGAAAACAATACCATGCTGATAACAGGCGATACAATCGGATATGTTAAGGTAAGTACTGGTGAAATGGCTGGTGCAATAGGGGTTTTGCACCATCACGTGACGGCAGCCATGTTAGATGGCAGGAACAATACAATCGTTTTACATGAGAAGGAATTCAATTCTCCATTCAAGAACAAAGGGATTCTATTGTTTTGCCATCTAACCACAGGCATCCCAAGCTGTTTTATGGGGATGGGTCACATGATAGTTCAAAATATCTATAACAAAAAAATATCGCATTATAAGAACTGGAATTATTTCCATGGATTTTTGAAACGAAAAAGCACAAAAAACCTTCCTATTCTTTGAAGATTCATCATGTACATGCAGTTTGTTTGATTTGTCGGTATTCAATTATTAAGTCGTCATGTAATATTAATTTTTCGTATATACCTAGGTATGGGACATTACCGAATATTGCATAAACAAACCAGAAAACGCGAAAACAGCAATTAAGAACCGCTTGAAAGAAAGCCGGGGCTCATTCCTGCCAACGCTCGTCGAGAAGGATTCTACAAATTTTGTTCAGCAAGAAGGAGTAGCAAATAAACCCCCACAGCCGGATAGAGAGGTTAGAACAAATAATGTCGAAACATTTTTCCATTCTTGATTCCCTTTTTCTATTCAACATAAAATTTACTACGTCTTCTGATCAAGTGAGATCAAGTTGATTGAATAATGATGAAT